GAATTTATAACTGACAAATGACTTAAACCTTTAAATCAAAGAATCTGAAAATATCTCATTCTACTTTGTTGCTATTTAAATAAAGGTAGGAATAAAACAAAGTTTCATTGTGTTACTTGTCAATGTCTGTCATCAAAATGCATGGCTAAACCATGTATGTGCCTGGTGTTTTCCCAATGAGTCATTATTCACTTACCTACAGTGATGAACAGTGAGTGCCTCATAAGCAAATGTTATAACTCTTTGTAGGCACCATCATGGCTGTCAAAATGGACATTCTCATGCAACCATCAAAACTATCAAAATTTGTCAAAACATGACAAATGAACATGCTTTCTGCTCTGGATTTTTTGAGAAAGGTTAAAGATACATTTCTTTGTGGGTTTTTTTTGTTTTGTTGTTGTTGTTGTTTGTTTGTTTTTTAAAGCTTACATCAGGGGAAACATACATTTCTTAAAAAAACAAACAAACAAACAAAAAAACACAGAAACCCCAAACCCCACATTTGACAAGTAACTTCTGGGTAAGACATGACACACAGCAGAGTGTGATTTAGAAGGATCAGAAAGATGTTGAAATAGAGTGAGATGGCAAAAGATGTCATTATCTGACCATGTGAAAACCAGGTCAAACCCAGCTTGTTTCTGCCAGCCTGACACAGCTGCTGGAGCCCATTACATATGCTTTCAGGCCTTTCCCATTGTGTCAACCTTTAAATCAAGGATTTTGTCCCCTGAATATTCTTCTTTCTTGGTCAAATTCAAGGCACATATTTTAGCTAGATACTCCTCTCTTCCCAGATGTTAAAAACTGTGAATAAAGTCTAAGATACATACATTCAGAAGCAAGCAATTTAAAACAACACATTCGGGCTACTAATCTTCTGCTTTTTCTTTTATTTCAGTATATCATGGGAGTACAAATGTTTAGGTTACGTATGTTGCCCTTACCCCCCCTCCCCCCCAAGTCAGAGCTTCAAGTGTGTCCATCCCCCAGATGGTGCGCATCGCACTCATTATGTATGCATATACTCATCCCCTCCTCCCCCTCTCCCCTGCCCAACGCCCAATAAATGTTATTCCTATATGTGCACTTAGGTGTTGATCAGTGAAACCAATTTGCTGGTGAGTACATGTGGTGCTGATTTTTCCATTCTTGGGATGCTTCACTTAGTAGAATGGGTTCCAGCTCTATCCAGGAAAATACAAGAGGTGCTATATCACCATTGTTTCTTATAGCTGAATAGTACTCCATGGTATACATATACCACATTTTATTAATTCACTCATGTATTGATGGGCTATAATCTTCTGCTTTTAACCTCTGATTTGAACATCAGAGTGGCCTATGACACTGCGCCAAAGAGACACTTGATTTTAGTTCTTACTACTCTGTTAGTGCCTTAAAAGCAGAAAGGGTCTGGTGGTTGTTCTATAAAATGAAACTAGGACTCACATTTGATGCCTCTTCCATGGAACTAACCATGTCCCTAAAATAAGTTCAGCTGTGTATTCGCTGAGTGGACAGACTGCCTTCAGAAAGAAAGGGGAAACACAACCTTTGAGTTCTCAAGAATCTATATCAATTCTCCAGATAACTCTTTACTGAAGCTTTAGAATTTAGGATTTCCAAAATTTGACTGAAAAAACTAAGTGTCCTTTCCATGCTCCCATATTGATGTCATTCATTTCTAATATTAGCAGCAGAGCAGTTTGGGTTCACCTGAGAAAGAGGAGCTTTTATTTTCAGTTGAACAGGAGCAGATACTAAAAATGAACATGGTGAGACTTCCTTCTGGTGTATCTGACACAGATAAAATAGGTAAACCTGTGCAGAGAAACTATGTTGAACCAAATGGGAAAGGAATTCAATCTAATTGGAATTTGATGTGCTTACAGAATTTTTATGTAGTCCCACTCATGTGAACACTGAGGAATTAAGAAATAAAATGAAATTATATAAAGTTGTTTTGTTGCACAGTGTCACATAAGATCATGAGATGTTCCTGAAAATTCCATATTGGTGAGATGAAGTTTCCAGAGTGTGTTATAGTCTAGCATGATTGGTAAACTTGGTCATTATTTGATGTTATAGCCACAAACAAGCTACTGAATGATACTTTTTAAACTCACTAGATCAAATGTGTGAAATATTTGGGCTCCTATTACACAACAGAGCTTAAGTGGATCACAGTACCTGGACAATTACCGCATCTCACTTAATATTGTGCAGACATGGATAGAGGTGGAGGAGGCAGAGGTGCCAATTCGTAATAACAGAAACGGTGTTGGGATTTCGTGGCCTGGATTGGAGGTTACTAGTTCCTCCTACCTTCTGTGTCTGCAAAGTGAGTGGCACCATCGTGTGTTAAAAGTGCTTTAAGTGGTGCAAGTCTCACAAAGAGACTTATATCTGGACCAAGTAAGGACAATGCACCTACAGACCCAGATATCTCTCATGCACAGAAAACGCCTCTCTCTTTAAAAATGGCCACCTGAATTTGGTAACCATTCTCTCTAGTAGAGGGTGAAGAGATTTAGAGAAAGAATTAAAGGAAATAAAGAGTTAAGGAAAACAAAAACACCAAACTCAAAGTGGAGACATAGCACCACTTTATCAATATTTGTCTGTAATTGAACTTTTCTTATATTTTAAAATATTCTAAGGCTTTCATTCCAGAAAAGCTGACCTGGGTGTTTAAACAGCCATGGCAAGAAAATGGGCCATAATTAGTACTTGCTACTCTGCAGTTTGTTTTTGCTGACAACTCTCAAGTTCGGTCTTCCAAACCAACAGCAGTGATCCTTATCTCCTTAAGTCACTGTCACAAGGAAGGTAGAGCAGGTCTCTCCATTGGTTATGTACCCAGTGACATACCTTGCCTTCTTTGTGTTTGTTAGGAAAACCTCTGGACTATAAAGCTTTAGCCTCAGAACTGTCTGGCATAGTGTTCTGCTCTGAGCCACTCCTCCCTGTTGTTTTCAAAAATCACTAAAAGATATTAAAATTAAAGAAAACCCCTATCTAGCTCTTTTTCCCCACGACACCCACAGAGTTGTGTAAACACAAGCCTGAGGGAGCCCCCACATCATGTGCTCCCAAAGATCTCCACGGTAGGAAATGCCCCACTGTGTCCCTCCCTGGACTCTAGGCTCCTTAAGGGTCTAAACCACACCTTATTCCTCCCTATATTGCCATGACCTTGTGCCTTGTCTGGAATATGGTTACCACTCAATTAATATTTACTGATTCATCAATGTTGAATGTCTCTCCCTGGAAGACTAAGTTATTCACTTTTTTTTTTTTTTGCTTGTTTGGTTTTGATTTGTTTTTAGTTTTTTTTTATTCTCCTCCCAACATAGCTTTTACTCCAGATTTCTATCCTTTAAAATTAGCAGATTTTAGACTACAAAGGAAGGTCTCTGGTTGCATATCTTATGGATGTCCAAGAAACTACTAAAAGATATTTTCTTATGAAAATTATTTTCACAGGAGAGATCCAATTATTTTTCTCCTACCGAGTAATTCAAAATATTTTTCACATGCATCTTTATGCAACAGTTTTCTTCCAGTTGGACATATCCATATTCATATCCATATTGAAAAATTTAATGCCACATCTGTGAGAGGGTGAGCAGAGGGCTGAGCAAAGTCAGAAGGCACCAGGAATCTTTATGCCTTGCATTTGTGCGCTGTGCAGCACTTGAGCATACGATCCCGTGTTCTGGCCCCACAGCATTGAAGCTAGCAAATGGCACAGGCATCAGCATCCGGCCTTACTAATGAAGAAATTGAACCCAAGAAAAAAGAGCAGTTTCCCCAAGGTCACCCAGCTGGTTTTGAGAATTTGTCAAAAACCCAGCTCTTTCAACTCTTTGCATTATGATGCTCTTTTGATGATGCTGTGAAATTAAATGTGTTGCTTAGGTGGCATTTTATAGACAACAATAATAAACAGAAGAAAGAAATATGATGCAAAAAGGAAAGTAGCAATCGCTAACTCTAAAGAAGCCAAAAATGATAACGAACTGAGGGAGAAACTGGGGAAGTTGAGCTGTGGAAAGTTTTATACGTATTAATTCATTGGGGGTGGAAACGAGAGAGGGAAGTTGTATTCTTATGGAGTGTCTCATCGGAGAATGAGGGACGCACTTTTCTGTGATGTTGCCATTATTTCAGCTTCGCCTCCTCACTTTGGCCCCCACGCTAACGCTGTAAGGAATCCTTCTCTAAGAGCGTGGTTTCTTCTCTGACAGAGGTTAGTCAGGAGACAGGAAAACAGGTCAAGTCCGGATCTCCACGGAGGCTTATAGGCAAGTGAAGAACACTAGAGCTCTTAGCTCTATCCCTATTTAGAAAGCAAAAATATATTTCTTTTCCTTGATAAACTTTTGGGAACGAAAACAGAGAAAAAAAAAAGAAACATTTTAAAATGATGATCTGAACTTCCTGTCATAGCTTTGTATAAAAAAATATATTTAACATAGTAAATAAAACCTAAAAGATCATTTTGTTTGTTCTTTTAATAATCCCCATCCGTTAGAAGTAATATTCTGTTTTAGCAATCAGTTTGTTAGTCAATAGGTCAAAAATATTTATTAGGGGTCTACTGTGAATCAGGCTCAGTTGATGAATAATGAATAACAGTTGGTGAACAAGATAAAGTTCCTTGCTCTCAAGGACCTCACATTCTAGAAGGAAAGAGGAAGCCAATAAATGTGTAAACAAACTAATAAAGAAGACAATTTGGGATTGAAAACTGTGTTTTATGAGGGACACTGTGTACTCATGCTGAGCCTGAGCAGATTTGAGCTTCCTAGTGCCCGAATGGCCATGAGAGGGAGACTGTTCCCGAGACCACAAGCCTGCGTCGGTAGCTCTGCCTCTACCACAACCGTTGTCAAAAATCATGGGAGATGGGAGATATAATATTCATAGTTACATGTGTATAGTTTCATCAGAGGAAGTGATGACCGTATGTTGGTTTCTTTTCATTCTAGGAATCTTGGAAAATCAGGACTCAGAGTTTCTTGCTTGGGTCTTGGTAAGTACTCAGGTGTCACCTGGGGGTGGGCTGGGAGGTGGGATGCTGGGGGGACACCAGGGGGTGATGGTGGTACAAGTCGGAGTCCACTGTCAGGTGAGGAGGAGACTTTCTGGCCAGCATTGCCCCACTTCTCCTTCTGAGCCTTTCCCTGCCTGGCTCGGCCCTCTCCCTCTCTAGTTCCAAGGAACCACTGTGCTCATGATGCCTTGTGGGGACCCATCAGCTAGAAAGTAACCTGATTCTAAAGCACACGTCAGAGGCAGGGTCTCACGTGCCACTCCCATTTAGCAAGTGTGAAGGACTGTGTGGCATGCACTTATATGCTCAGCTCACCTCCTCCTTCCATTCACCTGAATTTTTTTCTATCTATCCTTATTTTCCTTTTGCCTCATAAATTTTTCTATATTGTTATGCATTTTATGTATTTTATAATCTGACTTAACTACTTGGCAGGCAAAGTGAAATACATACACATGTATACATACATATATATAATTAATAAATAAAAATTGTTATGCCTTCCATAAAATGTAAATTTTTAAAGAAAACTAAGTAGAGTTGGCAATTCTAACAGCATAAAGATGAACCTGAAATGGTGAAATCTGAGTATGTGGCGTGGGGAGGCACGAGAGTTCCAGACATCCCTCAGACACGGGAAAAGGCAGCCTTGGCATTGAGACCATTCAGCACCAGCAGATGAATACTCAGCATGGTGACTGAGAAGGTAGTGAGAAATGGCCAGATTATGACTGTTTTGAAGGGAGAACCTGGAAGATTTTCTGTTGGATTCCATGTGGCATATGAGAGAAAAGAGAAAAGTCAAAGATGACTCTAGGGGTTTTTGCCTGAGCCACAGAAGGAATGGAGTTACTAGTAAATGAGATGAGGAAGAATGAGGGAGAAGAGATTTAGGGAGGGGTAAGATTGGGGGATTGATTTGGACATACTAAGTTTGAGATACGTATTAGGTACCCAAGAAAAGTTGTCAAATAGGCAAATGGATACATGAATCTCAAGTTGAAGAGAGAGCTGGGCTGGATATATAAACTTGGGAGTCATCAACGTGCAGATGTTGTTCAAGCTGTGATCCTGGATGAGAACACTAGGGCAGCAGTTTAGACAGTACAGAAACAGAGGCACACGGTTGTGACCTAGGAAAGCCAACATTAAGAAACTGGGGGACTGAGAACGAGCCAACAAAGAAAATGAAATTAAGTAGCCATAGGAAGAGATCAGGAGAGAGGGGAGTCCTGGGATCCAGGCAAAGCAAACATTTCAAAGCGGACGGAGCGATCCATCCTGTCAAGTGCTGCTCATGCATCAGGCAGGATGAGGGCCAAGCACTGACCATTGGGTTCAGCAACATGGAGTTGATGACTCCATGTTGAAAAGATGACTTTGAAAAGATCAATTTTTGTGGAGCGGTAGGGGCCAAAGCATAATTGGAACAGGCTCAAGGGAGAATGGAAAGAGACAAGCTGGTGGCTACTCTTTGATGACAACTGCTGTACAGAAAAGCAGAGAAACAGAGAGCACTGACAGGCAAGTGAGGTCAGAGAGGTTCTTGCATGTGGAAGAAATGCCAATATATTTACATGCTGATGAGGAAATCCTTTTGAGAAGAAAAAATGATGCAGGAGAAGGAGAGAGAAGAATATCTGGAATGATTTCTTGGGGACACAGAAGCACACAAGAGCACGTGACAGAAGACAGAGCACATGGGCTTTGAGGCTAGTAGGGGGATTGGTAGGGTGGCAGTGGTGGAGGTATCTTGTCAAAGTTCTATTTCTTTTATAGTCTCAGTGGAAATTGGAAGCAAGATCATCTGCTTTTAGCAAGGATGGGAAGGAAGTGTTGGAAGTTTGAGGAGAGAGAGCATGAGCAGGAGAGCAGGAGAGCAGAAGAGTGAGTCAACCCGGGGTAGGCATTGTGCTGGCCAGGCAGCATTAAGCAGCTGCTTCAGACTGGTGCTCATAAATTTGAAGTGAGACCATCTCCATGGTCAAGTGTTTTCTTCCAGGCATGTTTGGCTGTGCAGGTGTAGGTGAGCTTTTTATAAGATGAGTAGGAGACGGCAAAAAATCTGAGGGTTTATGTAAGGCAGTTATTGTAGTGGTGGACCTTGGCATTTAAACCAAGTAGGGAGGAAAATGAGGACCAGAGCCAGGAAAATGAGCCAAGTGCTGAAATGAGAAAGCTGAGGGACAGTGAGAAGCAGGTAGGATCAATGAATTGTACATCCCAGAGGAACCAAGGAATTGGTGAAGTAAGAACCTTAGAGACAGTGGTTAGAAGGATAGAAAGTGGTGGTTGGAAAGGGAGTGTTTGAAATAGAGGTTATGGAGGGGCTCTGTTATTGGTAGAGACAAAGTCTGGGGTGTGTCCATTGGGAGAGAGCGGCTGAGGTTGTACTGAAGATAAGATCAGTGGGGGAGACGAGGTTGAGAAACTGAGAGATGAAGGTACGGGGAATCATCATCTTTGGGGTCACTGAAATCACTAAAAATTATGGCAAAACTAATACGGAGAGGGTGACAATGAGACGGGAGCTAACATTTTCGTGGAATGAGAGGGAGTGACTAGGGGTGGGTGAGTGACTGCAACCTGGGGGGCCTGTCGGTGTGAGAGTCAAAGCTGGTGGGTTGGAGGGCTGCTTCAAAGACACCGAAAGCTATCAGTGTCAGAGTTTTTCTGGTTCTTCCTAACGATCTGACTTGGGAGGTAAAGGTGGTCATTGTTCACCATATGTCTAAGATAATTTGACGTTTGTTTACTTTAGTGGCTCTGATCTTGTTACTATTTACTTGTATGTGAAAGACCGTGGAGATTCATTATCAGAGATAGTCTGACCCTAATCTTTTTGAGAGTGTGCTTTATGGCAAATAACTATTTAGTATTTATTATTGAAAGAAACAACCTATTAATATAAATTAAGAGATATACATAGTGAAATATCATTTATCAACCAGTTATCTACAGGTATCTGTGGTGGAAAATAGTTTAGTCAATAAGTACATAGAACACTCAGCCGAAAGCCCTTAACAAATTCAAGTGCCCATGAAACGCCACTTATAAATGAGTCTCCAGAAGGAAGAGTCCAGACAACCGCAGGCAGTGGGTATGAGCTGCAGGCATTTTGGTGAACTTTGAGAGAGGCTTGATTTAGGAGCAGTAAGTCCTGATTTGAGCTTCAAGTTTTTCTAAGAGCCTGAACACTTGTGATAAGACACTGCACGAAAAAGAGGAGGAAACAAGGAAGTTCATGGGGCTGACTGGCTTCATTCGAAACAGGTAACAAAGCTTGACAGCTTGAATAAGTACTCTTTGAGAACTTTTCTGAGCTGCCTCTGTAAGCCAGAGGAGACAAGAAATTCATAGAAAGCAATAATGCACCAGCCTTAGAAAATTTGTCAGGCTCTACAGGTCGCAGTTGTCAAATGCAGGTGGAGCGAAGTTTACTGCTGTGGGCGTGGGGTGTCAGCTCAGTCGTGGCCCGCGCTCAACTGAGGCTTTGGAGATTAAGTATTAAAGCTTCCAGGCAATCAAAAGACTACAGATGCTTTTATTGAAATACTCTAAAGGTCATACTTAAAGCTAACAATTCTGACTTCCTTCTCTAGCAGAGAGGAAGCAACTGGGAATTCCTTTTGGTAAACAAAGAGCATGTGTAAATGAGAATAGAAAAGCAAAATAACTTTGAGGGTGAACTGACGATACATTGGAAGGAACACAGCTCTGCCAAGGAGAGAAATGGGAAAAAATTCAGTGCCCAGTCCCACCTGTGGGTTGCTGTAGCTGCTCTGTTCTGTAAATATACTGTCCACGACTGTCAAGACCTGAAGTCAAATAAACTAAAGGGAAAGGGGTAAACACTCCAGGGAGGGACCCAAACTCATCCCAGCCTATTAGGAGCTCGGACTGTCTTCTGAGAGAGTAAGAGTGGAATTTACATATTCATTCGTTCCCTCATTCATTTGTTCATTCTTTTAATTAATTAATTAATTTGTTTTGAGGCAGGTTCTCACTCTGTCGCCTGGGCTAGAGTGCAGTGGTGTGATCACAGTTCACTGCAACCTCAAATTCCTGGGCTCAAGCGATCCTCCCAGCTCAGCTTCCCAAGTAGCTGGGACTACAGGCGTGTATCACCATACCCAGCAAATTTTTTATTTTTATTTTCTGTAGAGACGGGATCTTGCTATGTTACCCAGGCTGGTCTTGAGCTCCTGGCCTCAAGTGATCCTTGCACCTCAGCCTCCCAGAGTGCTAGGATTACAGACTTTAGCCACCACATCTAGCCCATTTTTAATTCTTAGGCAAATATTTATGGAGGCAGGCATTGGTTACAAGGGGTACTAAGAGGAAACAGCATGGGCCCTGCCCTCAAATTGCTCAAAGTGCAGTGGGAGTTAGGCACGCAAAAACAACTGATAATATATTTGACAGATGCCATAGTGCCGTGTACAGGATGAATGAAGCATGAGAAAAGTCTCCTGGGAGATATGGGATAGCTTCACAGGGGCTGGGGGGATGCCACTTGACCTGAGACTTGAAGAGAGGAGACAAGTGGAGTGGGAGGGTAAAGAGCTCAAGACAAGGGAGAAACACAAGCAAGGGCCTGCAGGGAGATCCCATGGCAGGGAGGTACTTGGGGAAACCAGTCATATGCATAGAATATTATGAGTATGAGGTGTTGGGGAATAGCCAGAAATGAGTCCAGAAGGAAAGCTAGGCCCGATTATACGAACCCTTGTCTGCCTTGCTAAGGCATTTAGCTCAGATTCTCTAGGTCTCCAGTGTTCCTTCAAATCCTAGGGTCCCCAGGTCTCAGGAAGTGCTTGGGGGACAAGGACCTCTCTCCACCCTCCTCCTTCCATCTGCCACAATTTCCATCAAAGCAGATCTACTCTTTCCTCATAGTATACTTTTTTAAAAATAGACTTTATTTTTTAGAGCAATTTTAGGTTTGCAGCAAAACTGAGCAGAAACTATAGATTTCC